ACTTTCCCTCTCAGTGTCTCTGTCTCTCTCCAGGGGCCAAATTTGGGGTTTTAGGATTTGTTTTTTTTTTTATTTTTTTTTCCCTTTTTTTTTTTTTTTTTAAAGAGAAGTTTTCGCTATAGGGCACATGCGCTTGCCAGAAAGACAGAGACAGAGAGACAGAAAGCGAGAAATCACCCCCCAGGAGGGATGGCCATGCCACAATCCCTTCTCCTCTATTCTCCTCTCGGGATCTTGGGCACACACGCACACACGCCTGGCGTGAGTTTAAGCTGCCGGGTCCAGGACTCAAACCACAGTTGACTACATGGGAGTCCAGCGACATAGCCATTACGCCAACTGCTGGTCCCAAGGATTGGACTTTAATTAATGAGGCAATGTTTTCCTTAAGTGGCTATGAGAGGGAGCATTTAGCCAGTTTGGGGAGAATAACTAGACCTAACAAATAATGATTTGGAGATTAGCCTCAAAGAATTCTGGGCAGTAGGAGCAAGCCAATCTGGGATTACACATTTGCCAGATAATTCACATATGGATAATGAATGGTTGGTTCTGTATTTTTTAATGATTCATATTTGGGCATTTTAAGTACTTTCCCCCTTTTTGTTTCCTTCCTAGCAAGTAAGAATTGGACATACTGAGTGGGTACCAACTTCAGCATTCAGAGTAGTTGGATACCACATTCACTTGAAAACAGTGACCCAAGAGAAGAGGAGGAGAGGCTTGGTCTAGCTCTAACTTCCTCAAGACAAGCAATATGTGGGATGGATGTTTGTTTTCTTTTATTCTCAATAGAGATAATTTTCTTGAAGCATATCAATCAAGTAGTTCAGTTTCACACATATGTAACAGTTCTGTAGAGCTATATTGACCAGCTTAGTTTATCTACTTCTCCATCATGACTAAGGGAAAAGGAAGCTTTGAATCTAGAGACTCCACATTAGGTATTTCCAGTCATGACTCATTTTCAGAAAAAGTATACCTCATTTGGTCGTGGGATGGTTCCTAATTGTTTGGAGTGATGCTGTTGTTGCAATTACTGAGTATGACTTGTACTTCAATGCATATCTGTTTCAGATATGTTCTCACTCAATAGACTGGAACATCCATGAAGGCTCTGTCTGCTCTCTTATTGTATTCCCTGTCTACTAGCACACACGATGGAGCCTTAATAAGCATCTGTTGAGTGAGAAGGGGTGGGGCACACTGCAGCAGAATTAATAACAGAAAAATCCAGGTGTAGTTAAGCACAAAACATGTATGGGAAGGAGATGAAGGCCAGAAGGTCAGTTAGGCTACTGCACTAGTCCAGGCATGGATGAGGGCTCATGGTCCTATGAGTCATACAGAGGTCAATGAAAGGAAGAAATGGGTGCCTTCTACACTGAACTCCCATGATGAAATAAATTACTCTTTCAGTTTATCTGTGGTTGTTGAGGTCTTAGAAGGTGAACTGGTCAGAAAGAGTTTATGAAAAAAGATGGAATTTTGACTTTACCTTGAAGATTGCACAGAGTACCCTTTGTTTCTGTTTTGACAGACACTTCAGTCAAGCTCATACCACAGAGAAGGTAAATATCACAGTTGTGAATATGATCTACTATTGGTTGCTGAGACTCTGGGGTTAGTGCAGACCCTGCAACTCACTCACTCCAAGGTCCCATCAACTCAACTCTACGCAAAGAGGTATGCCCTCATCATAATGGTGTTTGCAGCCCTATGCGATGTCCCAGGTAGTCTCCAATGCAAGGGCTGTCTTCCTCTTTTTTGCAGCCAACCTCAATATCAACCACAGGGCTATATACATAGTACACTTAATGAATATCTAAGTGTTCAGTTGGGAGAATGAACAAGCAAAATGTCACTACTCATGCCAAATTCTAAAAAGCATCTTCATCAGCTCTCTTCATTTCTCCTCCTAAATCCATAAACATTAGCTTGCAAACCAAAATTCTCAATGGCAGAGGACAGAGCTAATGAACTATCCTGAGGTACTTGGGCTCCATTTACATGTTGGTGACTGATGCTTAGCTTCTTCCTCTCAGCCTTTGACCCTTCCACAAAGCCCTTTGGTCCTTATCTAGAATCTGTGGCTTCCACATCTTTCTTAGAAGATTGTCCTCACATGAGAATACACAGTTTATGGAGATATTTTATGTCTATGAAGTTCATAGCGAGACTTTTCACACACTGTTAGTGAAAGGGGGCCATAAAGAGAAGATGGGGTCAGTTAGTGATGGTATCCTTGGGTGGAGTTTGAAGTGTGAGATCTACACAGAATCACTGCAGTGGGAAAGGGAAATTAAACTGGCCAAGAAGAATGGTTGGAGGGAGCACTAAATGGAAATTTCTTCTCCATGCAAAGCAGCCGTTAAGTCAAAGCATCTAATCACCACATGTGAAGCTAAGAGCTTGCCTAAGTCAAGACTTGCTGAATCATCTCCTGCCAAGGTTTACGGAGGTTAAAACAGGGGTGGGTGTTGGTACAGGAAGCTGCTGAAGTGGAAAGGACTCAAATCCCATCTTGTGGATGGTCATCTCAGTCTGTGTGGCCCTCTGTCTGACCCCTCAGAAGCACTAGTGTGTGACATCAGTGTCCCCGACAATAAACCTCAGTTCTCCACCTACCCACTTGCTAATAAAGAGGTGGACCTCAACATCTGGTAAAAAATGGAAATGAATATTTTGAACTGTTCTTCAAGAGAATTTGGATGGATCATTAGGCTTTGAGAAAACAGAGCATAGACGGTGAGAACACAGGACAGAGAACTCACTCCATTTTCCATTTAAACAATGTAGATAGTAATCATAGTTTCCTAGGAAGGTTGTTGTGAGAATCAAGTGAGATCATGTAAAGGTCTTTGTAAATAGTAAAAGCTCAATAAATATTAACTTTTAATACTGGCATTATTGTGTACATAGTAGACTCTTACATTCCAGAAGTAGAAAGATATCTGAAGATGAAGATGCTGTTTTTTGTTTTTTTTTTTTTAACCAAATTATTAGGGAGAAATATTATAGGAAAGACCAGGTGAGGATCCTCTGAGTAAATAGCTGCCAGTTTGCTTGAGGCATAAGAAAAATGCTAGCAGTTGTGCCTGGAGCAGCACTGGGAATTATGGCTGGAAAAAGAAGATTCATCCCAGAGTGCAGGCTATTATCCTTGGTCCTCAGTCTGCCTCTTAAGCAGCTGGAAGATGCTCTGTTTGCTCCAGGCCTGCTGGTTCTGGTCCTCTGAAGCCCTCTCCCTCTCTGGCCCAGGGCCCGGAGGCAACTTAACATTTCCCATAAGCCCCAGTGACCATGCTGACAGTCGGCAGCCATGGAGAGGAGTCCTGTGGGCAGAGACAGGAGGACAGCAATAGGCAGCTACTCAGCCAGGGCCAGAAGCCTCAAAGGCAAGAAGCAGCACACCTTCTTGCTCCAAGCAGCCTGGCTTGGACTTCAGAACTGAGATGCACTAGGAACCCTGTGCATTCCTATTCTGAGAGAGAAGGTCAAAAAGCTATGCCTGCCTGCAGCCAAGGAGAATGGCTTCGCTCCATGGCCCTTCCCTTACATTCTTCTCCCTTGCTCTCTCTTTTAACAAGAAGGGTGTTCCTTTCCTCAAAGGGAGAGAGAGGGAGGGAGGGAGAGAGAGAGAGACTGTAAACTGTCCAAAAGGACCGTGAGAAAACAGGAAGCTTTGAGAAGTACAAGAGAAAGCAAGATGAAATCTATTTGCAGGAGGGCCCCTGGGGACATGTGAGGCATTGTTAAGCAGGCAGTTCGTACAGCTATATCCTTCCTTCTGTGAGGAGGGCTCTGCTGCCAAAAGGCTGCTATCTGGTCACTGCCTTAACCCCCTCAATGCCAGCTTGGAAACCCTGACCCCCAACCCTTAGGCCCTCCAAATTCCCCGGCAAGAATTTCCCCCCTTTTGGAGCACTAAAGGCTTTAAGGGGAAACCTGAACTATTTTGGCAGCGGTGGAGGGACCCGCTTGAGGGAGACCTCATCCCTCTTCTCACAGCTCTGCCCTCTGGCCTTCAGCCCTCTGCCACAGACAAAGCTGCAGATGACCTGGTGATTCATAACTTAGGCAGCTCCCGGCTTCACCCCTCTCAAAAGAGAATTTGTCCCGGAAATTCTGGATGGCTGCTTTTCCTGGACAGGTTTCCCAAAGACGGCAGCTGGTTCTTTGCTGTTATGGAGTGTGCTCACCACAAGGAGAATATCCAAATCAACCCCTGCATGCTTATGCTGAATCTGGGAAGCATATTTCTGAAACATGGCTTAAGTCTACAAGCGCAGGTCTCTGGAAGAACTCCAGCTGGCTCCAAGAAGCAAGGAGTCCAGAAGTCGAGCCAATAGCAATGCCTGCCTGCAGCCAAGGAGAATGGCTTCGCTCCATGGCCCTTCCCTTACATTCTTCTCCCTTGCTCTCTCTTTTAACAAGAAGGGTGTTCCTTTCCTCAAAGGGAGAGAGAGGGAGGGAGGGAGAGAGAGAGACTGTAAACTGTCCAAAAGGACCGTGAGAAAACAGGAAGCTTTGAGAAGTACAAGAGAAAGCAAGATGAAATCTATTTGCAGGAGGGCCCCTGGGGACATGTGAGGCATTGTTAAGCAGGCAGTTCGTACAGCTATATCCTTCCTTCTGTGAGGAGGGCTCTGCTGCCAAAAGGCTGCTATCTGGTCACTGCCTTAACCCCCTCAATGCCAGCTTGGAAACCCTGACCCCCAACCCTTAGGCCCTCCAAATTCCCCGGCAAGAATTTCCCCCCTTTTGGAGCACTAAAGGCTTTAAGGGGAAACCTGAACTATTTTGGCAGCGGTGGAGGGACCCGCTTGAGGGAGACCTCATCCCTCTTCTCACAGCTCTGCCCTCTGGCCTTCAGCCCTCTGCCACAGACAAAGCTGCAGATGACCTGGTGATTCATAACTTAGGCAGCTCCCGGCTTCACCCCTCTCAAAAGAGAATTTGTCCCGGAAATTCTGGATGGCTGCTTTTCCTGGACAGGTTTCCCAAAGACGGCAGCTGGTTCTTTGCTGTTATGGAGTGTGCTCACCACAAGGAGAATATCCAAATCAACCCCTGCATGCTTATGCTGAATCTGGGAAGCATATTTCTGAAACATGGCTTAAGTCTACAAGCGCAGGTCTCTGGAAGAACTCCAGCTGGCTCCAAGAAGCAAGGAGTCCAGAAGTCGAGCCAATAGCAAAAGAGTCCAGAAGGGCAGTAACTATTTTATAAGGAGAAAGGAAAAAAAAAAGAAGAAGAAGAAGAAGCAAATAGAAACCTTTCTTCTCCTCTACTTTCCCATCTTATTGTTAATGCTTAATCCTACAGTGAGCAAATGCCTCTGCTTGCTAAGGACAGCTGTTTCCACTGAGCCCAGGGCCGAAGAGAACCTGTTCATGTTGCAACAGGAGGAGGGATTTATAGTAGGAGGAAATTTTAATGGTAAGAAGCCCAAGAAATTAGAATCTTCTACTGAAAGAATCTTCCTTCTTGCATGTTTTTAGGTAAAAGAGATAGTGCTAACTCTTGGAACGCAGCTGGAGTGAGGCTTGCCTCTTTTCTCTAGCCATGTTGATCCTGTGAAGTGAGTAACTCTTCCCTGACCCTAGGGCAAAGTTTGAGTTTACTTGTCTAGTCTAGTTTATTTTTCCAATGTCACCAGTCAGCAATTTTTCTAGGATGGCTATGAATTGTACAGCAATGAGCAAATGGCTCTCCTTTCTCTCCCGACTACCAAACCCCCAATGACATCCACCTAGGGCCAGATTTCCAAGAATCCAGCACAACACAAAGTGAAACAAGCTCCACAGGACACCATCCCTGTGTAGCCCATCCCACACAGATCTGGTGATCTGGAGATAGCTTACAAACTCAAAGAGCTCTGTTATGAAACCTGTGAATTCAGATATGCTCTGAAAGTCTCTTGAAATGAAGAAGGGTGATGATACAAAAAGGACACTGAGCAGGGTGACACTTCCAGGGAGACAGAGGCAGGGAGAGGAAGAAACTGGAAGTATGCTTCTGGCACTTTCCAGGAAGCAAAGGGCTCTGGGCTGAAGTGACTGATGCCATTTTTGGTTCAGAAATGGCTAAGAATCGAGAAGGGCCACTTAAGTTTGACAAAAATCCTCTTTAATATTCAATTCTTTTTGTCTAATTATAGGCAGCCTCCTGGCCTATACTGTGGTCTCCTGAGAGGACTTGTCTTTGCAGATGATTAGTCTGATTCCTGTGCCAAGCCCACCTTCCGTTGTAAAGTACAGACTGTGCATCATCTCAAAGCTGGCGTTGCACTTTATAACCACTTCCTTGTGGAATCTGATGCTGTGGACCAGACATCCAGAGTCCAATAAACCCTCTAAAAAGAGGTAAAATGGAGTTTCTGAACTGTAAGGCTGACCACCAGACACCCTTTGAACCAAGTATGTTGTACCATCACTGGGTGGAGTAGGAAGGAGTAGGAAGGAGGTTTCAGGCCTCCATTTGTGAAGGGAGGCCTGGAACCTCAAGCTTGTATGGCTTACAAGCTTGTATGGCTCACAGCATCATCAGGCCCAAGCCATAGAACACTGTACAGTCTTCTGTGGTCTGGTACCAGAAAGAACACCCTAGATCCTCAAAGACTACCTGGCCCAAGAAATCCTCGAGACCTTTTGAGGGAAGAGAAGCAGAATTGTCTCTGAGCCCCTAAGACCTATATAACTTGTGTTGGCTCTGCCCCTTGGCACACCCCTCCACTTCAGGGACATGTTCTGCCTGGCTGTACCATCACTGCTGAAC